ACTATACAAATCGGAACCTAGAAAACAAGGTTGTCGGCATAACTCTAGAAGAACTAATGACAAGCTGGCAGGATTTATGAACACATATACAATGAGGTAGGAGCTAAGTAATAAAACGTACGTAAGGTGGACTTTATACGGAGAGAGGAAGCAGGAAGTTCTGAATGTAAACTATTATATCTCAAATAGTCAAAATCGAAAAAGGAACGTTTTACGAATGTAAATATTTCGTACTATCAGTCAGAAAACTAAAGTTTTGGACCTTTTATTTGTAGAACGATGCTGCGCAAACATTTACCAATATTACTCAACGTGTATCTACAGAAATTTACCTTTAACATAATTAACACCGCACGCTCGTTTATTTTCAATGATTATTTTCTTAACAAACGTACTAGTTCATACATGTAAATTGTTGGATCTTAATTTTTGCACTTCTTTGATTCTCTGATAAATACTTGATCTTGTTCCTGTTTCCTTAGTGATAAGATTACCAGCTAAAAACCAGCTCTCATATGTATTATCATGATTCACATCTGGATTATAGACTAATTGTTTACTAACTGTATCAAACAAACTAATTAGTTTCACATCGTTTTCGATGGGTGTGTGAGGTATCGATATGTTAACCCAGCCTCTAAATTTTGTTTTCTTTTTCTTACTACAATATTCACAATTTTCAACTATATTCCAATATTTTTGCATATTTTTAAAGTTCCACGATTCGTCATCAACTAATTTTGCCACTTTATCCCAATCCAATGGATGCGCTGACACTCCCAACATAACATTATGCATTACACATCCTCCTAAGAGGCTAGCTCGTGGATATAATATTTCCTCTGTTGGCTGTTGTACTGAATTATTATTATCAAGTACGCCATCATATCACAACGCATTTCATCGTCATTGATAGTGTTTAGCCACAGAGCGGGAATCGATGTATTTCTTGTATTATAATCTTTTCCAGCTTCGATAAGAAGAACTTTGAATCCACGTAATGCTAAGGAGTCATTCATGTAGGATGTCTAATATGAGTAGAAACAGTGAAACGGAGAGCTACATTAGAATCCGATAATGGATTGATTTAAATTCGTTTAAATTCTGTGTAGAAATGCGTGCTTTGATTCTGATAATTTTAAAATTGCTTGTGGAATAATGCGTCTGTTTTTCAAAAAAATTTAGCAACGCTTTCCACTTAAAGAAAATATTTTCGTCTTGCTTACTTTCATAAACCATACACAGTCTACGACAATCGCCTACAATAACGCATGATAAACAAGTTCAAAATCCTTACTATTCCTTGAAGTCCGCTTCGGGTCATTTTTTCCTCATACTACTGACAACTGGAATGTGCTGCTATGCATCGTTGTGAATCAGACGGTTTGTATCCCGTCACTTCTCTGATTAAGTTTTCAGAAACTTTTTTTGTTATGAGAGAACCAATATGACCTCATCACTAGATGCAGTTTTTCGCGCTGATTACGAATCTGACCTTCTTAACAAATAAAAATAGAAATTTGAGTCAAAAAAATTTTAATTTAAAACTTTTGAAAACTTTAACTTAACATTTTTTACCTGGGAACTTTTTTAAAAAAATTGAAAATCTATACCATTCGACAGAAAATTAAATTCTCTGCAAAATGGCTCATGTTTTTCGACAATTCAGCTAGGAACAAAACTTATGCCTTTTCGATTTTGCAAGGCCCCAGTCAAGTTTAAAAGTCTGGAAAATAATTTTCAACTTTATTTTTCACATAATTCTATAGAATATCACTAAATCTGTGGCAAACATAAAAGTCAAGTTTTTTGGACGACATTAAGTGCCTGAAAATCCACTGACAAAAAAGTGTGTCACATCGTCACATTTATTTACTGACATTTATGAGAGAGGGAAACGCTTTGGAAGAAAATTTTTTTAATATGTGATAGCTCGTGAGCTCTTTTACAACCTTTGCTCTAGACAGTTTCCATCTCGTCAGGTAATTCGCAGGAAATTAGCGTTTAATTGGATGTATCCGCAATTTAGGCCCTTTTTCTGTCACGTACCGTATATTCTCTGTCAAAGCCGTGAATCTTAACGAAAATTTTCCACTTTTTTACCGTAGATAGATGACAGTAAACTGCTCAGAATGTCGCAAGAATCAACTCTCTAGCTCTTATAGTTTTTGTAAAAACTGAAATTTAATGCGTCAAAAATGTCACGTCGTTACGCTTGAACAAGCCGCAGACCACTCGCATAATCTATAACAGTCTTTTGAAACAACATCTTCAATTTTCATAACTGAATTGTCTTTTCTGGTGCCTTATCAACAAAATCTGTTAAAATGTACCATATCTCTGCTGTGTATTTGGCATATGCATCACACGACGGTGAAAGAAAACACGACAAGATAAAAAAAATAGACATGAAAATCTTAAAGAAC